GCAATACAACTTTAAAGTTTTAAAACTGAGTAGCGAATCCGCATTTTTAAAATATTTCAAAATATAATAATAAATAATTTTTTTCACAATGAATCAGTTTGTCAATTGCATCAGTACATGTGACCAATGTAAATATTTACAATAGCTGTCTGATTTGTGATTCAAAAAAGCTACATAATTTGTTAAAACGTGAAAGAATTTTCTTAGTGCTGTCCGGTTACTGCTAAAATTTGTCTAAACTCTTAGTTCCCAGGTCCTGCGAGGATGTTTTGGGCCATTATGCCGGCACCGTGTTCAAAGAAGGTGTATACACCATCGACCCTGACGGCGCAGGAGGAGTGGACCCCTTCCAGGTCACCTGTACAACCAGAGATGATATACCTGGGCACGGTGTCACCTTAGTGCCTCACCAATTTGGTGTTGAGCCACTGCCACAGCATTATCAAGGTCCAGGTGAACGTTCACGATACGCTTCATTTGATTACAAACCCACCGAAGAGCAGCTTGACAGCCTAACCCGTATTTCTGGCAAATGCCGCCAATATGTTCGACTTTCAACTATTCATTCAGAAAATTTCTTAAAAAGTCCTTGGTGGATGTCCCGACAAGGATGGAACATGACCAATTGGGGAGGTGCCCCTACAAACAGCTCTAAATGTGCATGCGCGATGCAGGATCGATGTGATGGAGAGAACATGTAAGATAACGCTCAGACCCATGTGGCTTGCCGATTTGTTGATGTTTGTGAAAAGTGTATTTATTTAACAGTTCTTGATGTTTTAATGACTTTGAGTTGGTCATAATGTCGACAATTTTCACACATTTTTGTATATACACAGCGCTTTGCACTGACGTATCCAAGTTAAGTTGTCTGGAGATTTTTTATCATAACGTATACGGTAAAGGAAGGAAAAATAGTTTGGTTTTGCCTTATGTTTCACTGTTTTATATGCTGTTTTATTATTGTTTTTTTTTTGGGGGGGGGGGGAGTGAGGGGGGTGAATAGAAGGCGGGTTATCTACTAAGCTAAGGTGCGTGAATTTACTGTGCTTCCTCCCAAGATCGACCGTTGCTGTTGTAACAGTATATTTTTGGCAAATAGTTGACAAATATCTACACGTATCGTCAATATATGTCATATGATAAACATTTTTATCCGACAGTTAACCCGGGTTAAATATTTTGTTGTTTCTGTACACAGGGACTGTAATTCCAAATTGAACGACTACCTATTGCGAAATGACGAAGGATTTCTTGACGATAAGCGCTATCTACCTGTGAAGCAAGTACCGGTGGGTGATCTTGATGATGATGGCGAAGAGGCATTTTTAATGGTTAAGCCGATGGAATGTTACGGAGGTATCACAAAAGATACAATGTACTCGCAAACTGGGGTTAAACTTTTTGGCAACAATTTGTAATGCGTTAAATTTGAGAATCCATCATTTCATTGCGCTGCGAACTAAGCTGTTCTCAGGGAAGTTTTGTCTTTCAAGTTGAGAGGCAGATATTTTTATTGTATTGAAAGACCTCAATAATGGTCTTTTAAACTTCTCATCTTCGAGCAATCTTTTCTAGGTTTTCGACGTGAACTAAAAGTTGGAACCACAATGTAGTAAATGTAATATCGTGTTAGAAATCGGTTCTACATATATTTACCATATTACATGTACCATAGTATGATGTAGTTTAAAGGTTTTGATTGATATTTCCACAAATTTCATGCCGCTCTTTTTCAAATTAATTTGTTATTCTTTACTTCATTCATTGTGTATTTTTTCTATGTGTCTGTGTAGATATGGTGAGTGGACCACCTACTGAAAAGTAAGTGCATTTTACCTAAGATCTAATATACCATACCGTATATTAGATCTTAGATTTTACTTACATGTGCACTAGTACATGTATATGAATTTCAAAGATACAAACCTGACTGCGTGTTGCGTATAACACACACATATACATGTTTCTACTGCATTTGCTTTATCTGTTCTTTAAAGGTACGATGAAATTTATCACATAAGTTTGATATGGAAACATGTCCCCATACAAAATAGCCTGAATGCTCTGTCGCCATGGTTTCACTTTTTTAAGTGACTGCGTGCTGAAAGTTGTTGTTTATATTCCGTTGTACATTTCTGAATTTTGGAGTTGCACGCTGGGGAGGAAATCAGTAAAAATACTAAATGATTCATTTTCATTCAAGGTGGAGGTAAAAATGGAGTGAATAACATTGCGTTTCCTTATCTCTTATAAGATGCCTCTGCAGTCTCCACGCCGAAGTGAAAGGCTCTACCAAAGCGGGTCCATTACTCTATGAACTCCCATATCTCATCTATGGACAAGGCCACAACGACGTATGGATAGATGACGGCAATCGGAAAAAGAAGGTCACCGACGTGTATCCACAGTTCTTTAATACCAGGAAGCGCCGCCAGTTATTGCCTTCCATCAGTGTGGCCAGTGGCATCTCACCAGAGTGCTTTAACGCGTTACAGAGCTGTCCAGTGGACTGTGAACGCCTAGCCAAGTTGACACTGGCGACCAAGCCCCTGACCACCAAGATAACGAATGGCGGCATCCAAAAACCCTTGGGTCAAATGATGTGTGAGAATGCCGGGGTGACCATTCCTCCCCCTGGAAGCCGGATTGTGGCCTTCTACAAGACTGCTCCTGCCTGTGGTTTCTCTGGCAGTTCGACGCATCTCGCAGGTAATACGACGATTTGCTGCAACGTGTTCACCTTGCCTTTCACCAACCAGGTGTACAACTATTTCAATGAGAAATGTGTCCAAAATGTTGACCTCGGTACGATCTTCGGTTCAGGATAAATGGAAATAAATGCCTTGTATATTTGTGAAATTACTGTAATGTTCACAGTTGTAATAGTAAAGTTCTTGCAAAATTTATATCCGTGATTGTGTTTCTTTTTAAAGGCGCTGACCTTTTTCTTTTTGCAAAAATCGCACAAACTACTAAACAACGGGGGAAAATTTGGTCCTGCATGCATTATTCTGCCAATAAAATGTATCTTCAGAGAATGAAAAAACAACGTATCATTCTCCAGTGTTGACAAAAATACCATTACATGTAACGTACATAGACTCCTAATATCAGTTATTTATGACTTGAATTTATGATTTTTAACGTAAAAGAAATTTATTCAAGTGTGTTTCTTTAAGTACACGTCTTTTTCAAACCGTTGATGACACCCAAGCCCCTGAATCACGCGTGATCGTCTCACCTTGATAGCTAGGTTACGAGGTCAAAAAACACGAGGTGCTTTTCTCACTTTGTAGTTCATCATGAATTTTACGCACACGTACCACTATATATATGTATTTTTCGGCTTGAATTTTATTTCCTGACTTTGCCTACACATTTGTTTTGTGGCAATCGAATATGCAGGTTCAAAACATGGATTGCAAAATCCTTTTACAGCAAGCAGCACTTGATAATATGGTGGCCCAAAATGTCCATCTATAAAAATATTTTAATCCGTTTATATTTATATTTATAAATCGTACCCTTGATTTAATAAATATTTTTCACGATTGAATAAAATGTTCCTTTCATTCGATTTACCGTTCCATTGATTTAATTAATCGTCCACTTGACAAATAAAGGGAGCGTGGATTCCCATTAACGAATATCAACCACTACCATTAGTTTCTTAAAATAAAGTCAACAAACCAATTCATAAACCAAATTCTTCAAACTTTTGGTCTAAAATTGATCTATTTATCCGTCCCTCCACTTCCATAAATGAAGCAGTAATGCGCACGCATTGCTTAAGCATCAATGTCATTCCCATGTACAGATGTATAGCTGCACGCACAATTGCTTAGTTTTCCAAATGAGCCTGCCGAGGGATATTTATAGCCGGGAAAGAAAGTGAAAAATATCCCATCAAAAATAATTTTTCTGGAAATATGAAACGATGGCTTTTTTTTCTGACTTAAACCATATGACAATATAAAACGTGGGAAAAGATTAAAATGTTTTTGGGTGGCACTTTTGGCACATATTTCTAGCCCTGTCGCCTTCTTCTATAAGAAGACTTTAAAGTTACAAAAGGTACATGTTCATTAACCTTTTGTCTATCAAGAAATGCTAGTTTTTGCAACTCTATTACGGTAACATGCACCATTACATTTGATAAAAACGGTACCTCTTTGGGATATGGAATTCTTTTTAAAAGTATACTGATTAAGTTGATCAATAGCTTAATAAGATATGTTGCAAAGACTGATCATTGAAATTACATTTCAATGAAAAACTGTTTCATAATGATTAAATGATTTTTTTTTATTTTATGCGTCTGGTTCCTACAGGTGCTTTTTTTCCTGCTGATAACTTCGCACAGTCGGGTCATAAAACGCATGTGTCGTTCTCAATTTGTGGGTGTACGCATTGCACCTTTATTTGAATACTAGTTCATAAATAGCGCATTTTATAACCCTCGTTACCGTAACGATTAAGCCAGCGTCCAGCGCTGTCAATATGGCTTGCTTGAAGATTTCGGTTGTGTTTTTCTGTGTTCTTTCAGTTCACGAAGTAGTGAGTATGGGAGGTATGTAGGCCTTTCTTTTTTAGCATAAAATTCACGCAACACATGATTGCATCTTGAAAGAAATATATGTATCGCTTTCAACTTTTTCACAATATCTACAAATACAAACAATTTGTGATTCTAAGTTTGAATTGTGTCACAGAGATCACTGGTGATTTTATGTCGATTAATTTCTGCTTGTTGGTTCAGTGTCTTGCATTATTCTTCAAGTTCCCAGATCCTGCGAGGATGTTGTACGTCAATACAGGGGTACCGTATTTAAAGAAGGAGTGCACACCATCGACCCTGACGGTGCAGGGGGAGTAGACGCCTTTCAGGTCACCTGTACAACTAGAGACGACTTACCTGACCACGGCGTCACTTTAGTGCCTCACGCAGGTGGTATCGTGTCACAGCCGAAGCGTTACCAAGGTCCAGGCCTTTTCCAACAATACGCTTCATTTGATTACGGACTCACAAAAGATCAGCTTGACAGTCTAACTCGTATATCTGGTAAATGTCGCCAATTCGTTCAACTTTCATGTCATGATGCTTGGAATTTCCACACGAACCCTTGGTGGGTTTCCCGACAAGGATGGGACATGGCCAACTGGGGAGGTGCTCCGACTAACAGCTCTAAATGCGGGTGCGCAATACAGAATCGCTGTGACATGTCAAAGTAAGATGCACGTAAAGTGACATATTGATTTGTTAATAAATATGACGCACACATTGGTCATTTATGATGATGAGACAATTGTGTGAAACAAAGCATGAATGAGGGACAATTTTGACTTGTTTCACATGTCATTTATTTGTTTGAAAATTAATGTCAATCGTCAAATGCAAAAGAACCGGTAAATTTGGCATTTTCGCAACTGACGACCTCGTCCTGTTTTCTACATACTAAACTTGTAGTAGTCCACCATCTCAAAATTTTTTTCATTTGGTTTTTCTCATTCAGTTGTTATTATGCCTGATGGACAAGATATCTAGGGTTTTAATAACCAAAAATGTGAAAAGATTACATTGCTAAGGAACAATAATATTTCGTATGTTAGTCATTAAGGAGCGTTTCACATTAGTGTATTTTTTTTTTCAATCTAGTACCGTACTTACGATTCATCTGGTTACAGACGAATAATAATTTTTTTTAAGATATAGTTGACCACGTTGCGTTAACCGCTCGGAGATTTCAGGCGGTCTACTGGGAAGACCGTTTGAACTATTTTCAGCTTTGAATTTCACGTAGAATGCGCGGGTTCAGCCAAAGTCAGTTGTATATTATAGTTTGTTCAACATTCGGTACACGTGACTGCAAAATCAATGACGCGGTGTGGCGAGCTGAATTGTTTTCTTTCTTTCAGTGACCAGTGTAACTGCCACCGAGATGATGGAATGTGGAGAGTGGACGCGGGATATCTTGACGATAAGCGCTATCTACCGGTGAAGCAGGTACCGGTTCGTGATGTAGATAACAGTCATGAAGAAGTATACTTAACGGTGAAGCCGATGGAATGTTACGGAGGTATCACAAAGTACAAAATTCCGTGCGCTATCGTTGGTTAAACATGTCAGCTACACTTTAAGTAGGATATGTACTTTAACTTTGATAATTACTAAATTAGCCATTTTGAAGGTACTGACGAAGGTATTTGTAAAGAGTTGTTATTCGTATCATTTCTCTCCCTTTTATTTTTTTGAATAAAGTCATTCATTTATTTTTTAGTTGTGACGAGCGGACAGCCTACCGAAAAGTAAGTACGTTTAACTTACATAAATTGCATTTACTTTTTTATGCAGAATGTAACAGTATTTATCGCTGCTGAATTGGATAGTTAGTGACCGAGAATCGTTTGATACAATGGAACTATTTGCAACCGGCGCGTTTTTATTAAACGATTATATACACTGCACTACGGCAAAACCCTCAGTCACTTTCTAAATGTAATACAAAACACGGAGAAATTAGTATTTTAATTTATTTATTTTAATATCCTACGCTGATGAAACTTATTGATCAACACACTTAATACTGTTCATATGGTTATATATTTCAAGGCAGGGCAATTTTTCTCAACCAAAAACCAGGAAAAATACTACAAATGTCAATTTATGAAATCGGGTGTTTTAATTCTCTCGTACAATTCTAAATTTCAAAGCTGTACAGAGGGAAAGACATAGACAGTCCCATCCATTATAAACAAAACTTTAAAATTCGTCATTTTTTCATCATAATCTAGTTTGTGGCATATGATGGCTTCGCAGCTTTATCATTGGCGTTAACTACACACAGTGTACATGTACAGTGAGACAATCCCTTTGATGGGGGGGGGGGCTAAAAATTGATGTAGTAATAAATATGGCGATTCCTTAATCTCTTTAAGGTGCTTCTGCAGTCTCCACGCCGAAGTGAAAGGGTCTACCAAAGCGGGTCCATTACTCCTTCAACTCCCGGATCTCATCTATGGACAAGGCCACAACGACGTATGGATAGATGACGGCAACCAGAAAAGGAAGGTCACCGATGTGTATCCACAGTTTTTTAATACCAGGATACGCCGCCAAATATTGCCTTCCAGTGTGGCTCACAACAAATCACCGGACTGTGTCCGCGTGTTACAAAACTGTCCAGTGGACTGTGAACGACTTGCCAAATTGAAATATGCCTCCATGTCCTTGTCCACAAATATAACGAATGCTGGCGTCCAAAAGGCCTTGGGTCAAGTGATGTGTGAGAACGCCGGGGTGACCATTCCTCCCCCTGGAAGCCGGATTGTGGCCTTCTACAAGACTGCGCCTGGCTGTGATTCCTCTGGCAGTTCCACGTATTTCCACCCAGATGATACGAGCATTTGCTGCAAAGAGTTCATCTTGCCTTTCAGCAGACAGCCGTTCAACGTGTTCAATGAAAAATGTAGCCCCAATGTGGACATCAGCACCATCTTTGGTTGAGAAAAACTGGAAATGAATAATTTTGACTATGCTATTTGGAAATAACTGCAATGTTTACAGTTGCAATATGAAATTGCTCTTAAATTATATATTGGTGTTTGTGTTACTTTCTCGTACCAAAGTTTTCTTGCATTTTTATGAATGATCGCACATGTACGTCTAACGTGCACTTAACTGACAAACTGACTGACTAGACAAAAAAAAGAGTACCATCTCGCACTTATTGATGCGTAAATGAATTTTTCTTCAGAGCCTGAAAGCGTTTTAATATTACGCTCCGTGTACAAGCTCAACAACTTAATTTATAACCCTTATAAATTTATTTGCATGACTTATTAACTTAGGTGATCTTAACACGAAAAGGATTCACCATGATTATCCAAAGGTACACTGTACGCGTTTGAATGTCAAAACAAAACTTTCTGCCTCATAATCCTGCAACGTTACAGGTACTTAGGCCACACTTTTTTATTTTTATGGATGACATCCTCTAGGGACCCCAAAATCGGTGCGAGCGGGCGAAAAAAAAAAAACAGTCCAAAAAAAAAAAACTGCTTAAGAAAAGTTATGATTTCAGTACACAGCTGGAAACACTAATTTACCACAGAAACACGTATCCATGCTCTCAAAATATTAGAACATTGTGAATAGGGCCTACTTCGTAGAAAGGTAAAAAGTCATGAATATATATATGCTGCAAATTACCAAATCTATTTAAGGTTATTTCATGCATTCTGTTGGTATAGCAATCAATTAAACAAATATCAAATAAACAGCGTGTCTTTATTTGTACTCTCAGAAAATTAAAGCATTGTAAACACTTCACAGAATTGTTAAAAAATGAAGCAAAGATAGGCCTATGCTTCCTACTACCAAATCTAAAAAAGGTAATTTCGGGCGATGCCATTTTGTCTACTTCGACTCACACGTAGCAGCCAACTATCGGGTGGCCTGTCCGACCTTCAGTCCACCAAATACCACGACGCTCTTGTCGACCCATTTTTCGCTACAAAAAAAACCTGGTATGTGCTGCTTTGGACAGAATGTCACTGAAATTTTCCGGGCGATGATCGCTGGCCACGGCCAGCCTTTTGTATAATTGTAAAAAGGTGATATCGCCATGTCCAATATCAATGGCAAACCAATCCGAAAACGGGTCCCGTTCTCTTTATGACTTTAATTGTCGTGTATTTTGAAATTAATGCTAGAGATGAACAAGAAGTTATATCTTCTTTATAACTTCTTGAGATGAATTTGACGGCAAAGCGGCCATATTTCCACGTGGTGATAATACGCATGCGCAGAAAGCTCATTTTCCACACTCGGAACTACTCGGATGTCTCCGCAGTCGACAATGACGATATGGAGCTTGCGGAATTAGCCGAGGATTGCCGATTGCATTTTCCGGCAAATTCAATATCGACGTTTGCGACAACCGACTTCCTTGGGGAGGGGGGGATTTTTTTTTTTTTTTTTTTTTTTGGAGAACGGACGAAAATCGGTGCGCGCGCAGGATGTCATCCATAAAAACAAAAAAGTGTGGCCTTATGTTACATTCCAGGCTTCAAATACAGTAAGAACCCTAAAAAAGTACCTGATGTTAATATTTCCTCCTTAACGCACAGGAAGACATCACGGTTTATGTGACTGACAGACCAGTCATTAAAAACTAAATTATTCGATCAGATATGGAATAAACATCGAATCTAAGTGCAAGGCCTCGTGGATTATTGTTTCGTGGGTAGTAGAAAATAAAATCGCGTTTGTTGGTAGACAATTCGATTTGGCTGGAAAACAACTGATAGAAAACTTTTAAGTGTTTACAGTGTTTACTTTATAGCGTACAGAAACCTTTTTCGGGTCGTTGGTGATATTTCAATAACGTGATCGCCTCTCCTCGGTATCAATTGCAAGTTTACGGGGTCAGAAAACACACTCTTGGCTACTTCGGTTTTACATTTTAATCAATGTATATATCATCGTCTGAGCCTATATGCTTAAATTATGATGTCAAATATACAGGTTTAAATTTTGGATTGCGGTCCTATAGACAGTTTTATGTTCGCATAAAGATTTCATTAAATGAATTAAAAACACAAAAACAATCCGAGACGATGAAGTTCATAATATGGGAGACAACTGCAAAATAAGAGATCGATTTCAATTTCTACGTGGTTTTCAGTCAAGCTGCCCGACTGTGTTATGCTTTCACCTACCTTTTGTAAAAGAAAATAAATAACGGTTTTATAAACGTTTTTGTTTTCTTTTAAGAGCTAAAATAAGTTCTTTTCGAAATATCATAATTAATAATTAAAGGTTGCTTCCAAAAGTTGGTTGTGCTTCTATTTTATTGGTGGATTTGGTGTTGGTTTGCAAAGCTGTTTTGCTGTTGTTTAAGTCAATCCTCACAGTTTCCTTTTTCGATAAGACAGCCCACAGGATGTGAAAAAAAAATAACACATGTATCGTTCTCAGTCGTGAGCATATATATGCACCCCTTTATCAAGGGCAGCAGAAATCAACTCAGTTAATGGAGTTAATTTCCATAGCATAGCATAGCCAACGCCAGTTAGCTACTCATTGGACTTATGGCTAGTTTGAACATATTGCTCACGATTTTCTTTCTTATTCCTGCGCACTACGTGGCAGGTAACGGGGGTGAGTACGGAGAGGCCTGCGGGCATTTGGTACAAACAATGTAAACGATAATTTAATCATTATCAATTGAATGGGAAAAAAGTTGAAAATGTTTAGGTAAGTAAGTCTTACTGATTGCCCTCATGCTGTATCCATTCTACCAGTACTGTTTCAGTACTTGTGAACAATGCACAAACATGTAGGCCTACACCTACTATGTATCATTTGTGATTCAATTTTTTTTACCTAACTCTATCTTGAATAATCTGCAATCGCTACAGTAACTCATAATTCTTTGAAGTTCCCAGATCGTGTGAAGACGTTTTAAGCCATTATTCGGGTAACGTATTCAAGGAAGGTGTATACACCATAGACCCCGACGGTGCAGGGGGAGTAGACTCCTTCCAGGTCACCTGTACAACTAGAGATGATTTACCTGGCCACGGCGTCACTTTAGTGCCTCACCAAGGCGGTGTTAAGCCATATCTGCATCATCATAAAGGTCCAGCGGGTCTTTCACAGCTCACTTCATTTGATTACAAACTTACAGAAGAACAACTTGAAAGTCTTACCCGTATATCAGGCAAATGTCGACAGTTCGTTCGACTTTCATGTTATGCAGCTCATAATTTCAACACGACACCTTGGTGGGTTTCCCGCCAAGGATGGGACATGACCAACTGGGGAGGTGCCCCGACTAACAGCTCTAAGTGTGGATGCGCGATGCAAAATAACTGTGACAGATCAAATAAGTACATGTAAGTGACACATTTAATTGTGGATGTATCTGAGAAATCCAATTACGATATTGAGGATTAGGTTTGAACAATGCTTTTGCCAATAGGTCCTTAAGTGCAGATCCACGTGGATTTTTTTATGTAATTCACCTTAATTAGGTCACATTGTGAATCTATTAAGAAAACGTGTCATCAGTAAATGTAATGGCATAACTTATAACTTTCATGTAAAATGATTTGATAATTTGTTTGTTCTACATACAGTAACTGCAATTGCCAAATCAATGACAGCGTGTGGCGAAATGACGAAGGATATCTTGACGATAAGCGCTATCTACCGGTGAAGGAGGTGCAGATTCGTGATCTAGATAATAGTAATGAAGAGGTATATTTAATGGTGAAGCCAATGGAATGTTATGGAGGTATTTTAAAGTAGATTATATGCGTGCACACGCTTCAGTTACGACCATTTTGATAAACAACACTCAAAAAAGATACGTAGTTTAACCTCGGGATTTCAATAATTCATTGCTATTTGAGATGTATTGCATTCCACGGCTCTTTTTATTCATTTCATTCATTTATTTATTTTACTGTCATGTGCTACATGCTGAAAAAGAAACACAGCCCTTTCGTGTGTTAAAAAGCCATCAATTAGCAAATGCACCTGTGAATACCACTAAGACGATCTTTAATTACCCCACCTGTTGTAACGTAAAAATTGCCACTTGTTTCTTAATTCAAATTTTCGTACTGCTGAAGTGAATAAGATAAATAATAATTTAACTGTCCTGTTAAACATGTTTGAAATAAATATTTGGGTTTTTCATTTTCTTTGCTTTTAAATTCGATTTTAATGCATTATTATTTTTTCATTTGTTTGCAGCTGTATATTCTGACGAGAAAATCGTATCATCATCTTTCTATGGTCTTTTTATTATTTAACTTCACAGCTGCTTTGTGTTGCTGAAGTCAATCCTTACTGTTTCCTCTTTCGATAAGACGGGCCACCTAAGGTGAAACAACACGTGGAGTCGTTCTTAGTCGTGATATGTATATGCAACCAAGTATGGATGGGCACCAAATAATCAGAATCCTCCTTGCGTTGTCATCGCCATTCAGAAAGCATCACACTAGTTTGAACATTTTGCTCACGTTTCCTTTTTTTTATTTCAGTACAGTACACGGCAGCTCTAGGGAGTGAGTATTGATGGGCCTTCAAGCATATCGTACAAACTATTTGAAAGACTACTTTAGAAAATTTTAATCAGTTAAGGAATTCAAAGATAAGAAAATGTTTCGATAATTTCATGTAAGTTTTATTGTGATAACGCTGAATTTAGTCTTATGTTTCAGTAACTGTGACCAACAAACACTCGACAAATGGACACTGTGTCATTGGTGATTCTAATTTAAATTTAAGTATCTGCCATGTCCCAAAACGGACATGATTTTTTTTTTCTTATGATTGTCTTCTGGTTATTGACTTTCTTGCCATAAGTTCCCAGATCCTGCCAAGAAGTTTTGGGCCATTATGCCGGTACCGTGTTCAAGGAAGGTGTATACACCATCGACCCTGACGGTGCAGGGGGGGTGGACCCCTTCCAGGTCACTTGTACAACTAGAGATGACTTACCTGATTATGGCGTCACTTTAGTGCCTCACGAAGGTGGTGTTGAGCCACAGCCGCAGTATTAT